AGGTAATTTTGAGAAATTTTGGTTAACTTTCCAGATCTAATTAGATTACGTGTACACAATGAGAATTCTTGAGAAAGATCTAGTATTAAAGGTAAGGGGTAGGCCACCTCCATTCAAATGATCAAATGATTTTGGTTAAACTTTGCTTGTAATTTAATATTATCATCACTTGATGCTTTCTAACCAGAACTTTTAAAAAACTAATTGTCTATTTTGTGAGGTTTAGTTTAATTTAGATAATATAATCTGTAAATCAACCAATGTAAGCTTCTGCAAACTTAAATACCTTACCAGAAGCTAAATGCAAAAGAAAGAGGAAGGGGGTTAACTATCCCCACTTGTTCCTCAGGGAACCTCCTATGCAGGAATTGATGCTTAACGATCTGAGACAGTGGATGTAGATGTGGTAGATGTCGACTCTAATGTGTTTTTCATGCTCCAGTCCTGGAACCCAACAGGAATGCATGGTTAAGATTGCTGCGCCATAATCTAGACTGTTTCATAATTACTCATCATGTTGGATTGACGTGGATTGCATTGGCGCAGCTGTACCAATCCCCATATTAAACGTCAGTCAGCTCAATTTCTTTCTTACTACCTAGATAATGCGTTTAAGAACTTATAATATTTTCTCCCATGGTCAGTGGATCATCCTGCCCCTCCCCTGGAGCACCTCTTACCCCTTCCATCCCACCCTCCCTCTCCCCTCCACCTTAAAGATCACTAGGCAAGAAAATAAGAATGACCCTCAAGAGGGAGGAACACGAATGTGCAGATTCAGTTTTCCATGCGTCTCATAAAAGTAAGCAAAGATCCTTTTAGTCTCTCTTTTATTTAATTTCCTGTGGTCTGCTTCTCCCTCTGATGTACACAGCCTTACACTTTTCCGAATTCTCTCTGAGCTCCAGGCTAAAGCAATTTTAGTGCTGAAGGGCAGAGGGAGGGAAGCGGCATGCTCAGCGTGGCCATGTAACACGCAACGGCTGATGTCTTCTGACATTTATCTCCGCCTGCTAGAGGAGATGGAACAGCTCACTCATGAAGACGAATGTCATACCAGAGCGCTGCCATCGTGCATCCTTCCGAGGGCTCTCAGGAGAGAGATTTGGTGTTATATAGAATATTAGAATTGCTGCAGACACGGGGAAGCCTGGCGACTTGGCTGCTCTGCCTTGTTAGATCCTGTTAAGTGAAGTGATGCACCCTTGTTAAACAGAGCCGTCCTCATTATGAGATTATCTAATTCACTCTCTAGCATGGCATTTGCTTATTTCATGCACCCACAGGAGAAAAATGACTTCCCAGCATATTTTTAAGTACAAATGGAAATAGATCGAGTTCATAACTATGCATCTGTATACTTTGCTCCTTGCTTTGTTGAAGGCTTTATGGTTATAAAAGTACAAGTCCTTCTGGAGATAAATACTTCAGGGAATGACAAAGCAATGGGGAAGACTTTTAATTGCAGAGTGGCTAGATCTATCCAGCCCAGGTCATCTTTGACCTGAGATGACCTGTCTAGGATCCAGCAAATCTTCAAGAGCATGTCTGATTTTTTCCTGGGCTTCTTCTCCATCTAGAAGAGCAGAGTGAGCAGAGAAAGTTCTTTGAATCAAATTTCCACCAGTCATTAATGGCATGACTTGGGCAAATTATCCCAACTTCTCTTACATTAGATTCTTTTTTTTTTTTTTTTTGAGACAGAGTCTCTTTGAGCCAGAGTCTCACTGTGTTGCCCGGGCTAGAGTGCCGTGGCGTCATAATAGCTCACAGCAACCTCAAACTCCTGGGCTCAAGCGATCCTGCCTCAGCCTCCCGAGTAGCTGGGACTACAGGCATGCGTCACCATGCCCGGCTAATTTTTTCTATATATTTTTAAGTTGTCCCATTAATTTCTTTCTAATTTTAGTAGAGACGGGGGTCTCGCTCTTGCTCAGGCTGGTTTCGAACTCCTGAGCTCAAACAATCTGCCCGCCTCGGCCTCCCAGAGAGCTAGGATTACAGGCGTGACCCACCGCGCCCGGCCTTAACGTCAGATTCTTTATCTGTAAAATGAGGATACTAATGGTATCTATATGATAGAACTGTTCTGAAGATTAAATGACATGAAATAAAATCCCTGGAAAGCTTAGAACAGTGTCTAGTGTGCAGTAGGTGTTCAATGAATGCTAGCAATTATTATTCATAATTAGTAAAAACATCTTCTTAGTGGCATCAAATACCAATGACATAAAGAATCATAAAATACAATCATTTTTACTAGCCCTCATCTGGATTATTTTACATTCCTTCTGTTATTTTAGACTCTAAGTGCGTAGGCAGCCCTGATTTGCGAAGACCCAAACTTTAAATTTCCACTTGTTTAATTGGACCACAATGACCTCTTGTCCTTTTTCGATTCCTAGGAAGCAGGTGATACAATGAAAAAAATCTTAATTTGGGGGCTAGGCTCACACCTGGGGTTTAATCCTGTTTACTATACTTGTGTGAAATGGCTCAAGACACTTAACATTTGTGAGCTTTAATTTCCCCAACTGTAGAATACGTATAAGTATTAGTAATACTTATTTTGAAAGGATGCCATTAGGATTAAAAACGAAATATGTTAAGCATCCTAGTTCTTACTCCTGCAGTCTGAGGTCCCTTTGTGTTACAGCTTTAACTGAATAGCTGTTATGTTCAGACACTGTGGCAAGTGTAAAGATACACAAATGAATATGCATGATCCTTGCCAGGAAGTGTTGACAGTGAGGATAACAGCCATGTAAAAGGGGCATATCAGGGAAGGCTTCCTGAAAGAGGAAACATTGAGTTGAATCTTGAAGGATAAAGAAGAGTTAGCTAAATAAGGAAGAGGGTAAGGCCTGTCCACACAAAGGAAGAACATGCCAATCATTTAAAAGATGAAGGCTGAATGTTACTGCCTTGCAAACAACCCTCGATAGGTTCACATCATAATCGGGAAAACAAAAATAACTTTCAGAAGAGATCTCACTCTATCATGGACACATCGAGTTGCAGCAAGTCAAGTATTTCACTTCACAGATTTATCCAACATTTCGCTTTGAAGAAGACGGTTTTAGAAAACTTTAAAGGCCTCTGAAGCGACAGTTTTGCCGGAAGTGGAGTCATCTCCTGGAGAGCTCCTGTTACAACAGGGCTGCCAGGAGACTCCGGTGGGGAAGCCTGACATTCGCCGTAGGTTCAGCCAGAGTTTAGGACCCAGACTAGGATTGTAACTGAATCTCCTTCAGCTGAAATTCATTTTAAATAAAGTGCATTCAGTTTTTTTAAAAATCCCAGCAGGTGTGCACCCATTCTGGAGCAGGCTGGCTTGGTCAGGAGACTCTCACATCCCTGGGCTACGGCGGGTAGCTTGTCAGGGGTGTGTGTTGGGGTGTGAGGAGGTAGGTTTCATAGAGTCAAAGCCTCATTTGGATCCCTCACATTTCCCCTAAATCACTAGGACTGGGGCCCGGAGAAGTTCAAGAGCTAAGAATTAGCCCATTTCATTTCTCTCTCTGTTTCACTGTGGCTGTTCTTTCCTTGGAGTCCAGGTTTAGTCTGAGTGGAGGGAAGAGTATAGGGATAAACACATGGATTCCATTTTCTCCCTTCGTCTCTCTTTCTTGCTCTTTCCTGTGGTTGATGGGGATAAGGTTGAGTTTGCACAGGGTAAACATGCTTGTGATGTGACTTCAGCATGCTTAATAGTGCAATGGGAACCTGAGAAGAAGCAAGCCCATAGCAAGTAAGACCAACCCCCCTGGCCCTTAGGGGCATCTAGTGAGGCACTAGGTATGTGTTTGCACCTGTCTTTACATAAATGCATATGTGTGTGTGCACATGTGTGAGCACTCACACATGTGTGCTTACAGGTGAGGCACTCGTCTACATTTTCATTGGTTACTCCTGGTTCATTTCATTTCAATTGGCTCTCCCATGGTAAGGAGGTATAATGGGCTAGCACCTGTTGTTTAACCAGGTGTTAACTGAATTTGTGTTTGCAGTGGAGCCTTTGCAAGAGAAATCCAAAAGCAAATAAAAGGAAGAGCATTTGGGAAGTGCATGCTTTCTGAGCTACCACCTGCTTCTTTATACACTCTCTAATAACCAGAGTCATAGATTTTGGAGAAACATCAGAACTTTAGGGAAATCTGGAAAGAGTAGACCCTATTAGACATGATCTAGATCACACTATGAAAGAAGACATCCTTTTGAAATTTTTATTTCTCTAAGCACAGAGTAAATGGTTCTATTAATGCAATGCTGAAAAGCCGGGTGGGACAGTCACTTGAGCCTTGTGGTATCGCGAGGTATCCTCCTTTTCCTAGCATGAGCAAGGCTCCAGGCTGCTGTGTCGATAGAAGGTGAGGCCATAGTCAGTAGGCCACTGGCTTCTCTTACTTCCATCCCTAGTTTTATGAATACTGAAAACCCACAAGAGCACAAGAAATGAGATAGTAGATTTCCTATTTCTTCCTTTCTTACACGCTTGCTTTTTTGCTTAGGTAGGGGGGTGGCATAAAGGTTAGCAAAAAGGCAGAAAAGAATAATCGATATTTTTTTATATTTTGCAAGAACACACAAGAATAATTACCTACTATTTCTTGCTTTCCTGTTCCCCCTCCCCCAATAAAACCCAAAGCACACTGGACTAGGAAGCCAACGTTGTAAATGTTCAAAGGTGGAATTACATCCTTTGGTGTCTGGGTGTGTTTCGCATTACAATGCAGCCGCGATGATAACATTTCTCAGGAAAGCCTGCACAGCTGTCTCCGCATCAGTTGGTAGCGTGTGGGGAAACTGCTGCTCGGAATATGCTTCTGGGTGCAATTTACTTTGATACTGTTCTCCGAAGGATCAAAACTGACTCTTCATCTTTGACAAAGGAAAATGTGCACGCTCAAGCTTTAAGAAGCTGAACCATATTTGGGGTGACAAATACATTCCTTTGGGAAGAAAGTATTGTACAGTGGAAAGAACAAAGGCTTTGCAGACAGAGAGATCTGAGTTCGAATCCTGCATGGAACACTTACTAGCCTTGAGACTTTTGAAAAATCAGTTTTTCTAAGCTTTTGTTTCTTCATTCACACAATGGGTTACTGCAATAGTAACATGAGATGATGTATGTAGTAGTGGTTGCTGATAAATCCACTTGACATGTGGAGGGAAAAGAAGGATTGGTACCCTATGTGGTCAGGGGAGAGACAGGGATCGGGAGAACCCAAATTTGGGTAAATGTGTGTCTTCAGTGGAGTTCCAGGAAAAACAGAATTGTCATGTCTTCCTCTGTTTTCTAGTTCGATGACTCTGTAGCCTTCACTTTCAGATGTAGCAAGGCAAGGCCTGTAGCATTTACTCCACAATTGGGTGGCAGATGGGCCAGGCCACATGCTGCTGAACTGACGCATGACCTGGCAGTAAGTAATTTGTACACTTCCCTATGTTCTAAATTCCACCCACAAGAGTGTTCCCAGCGAAGGCCATTTTGCCATGACAGTATACAACACATGAAATTTATAGAATCTAGGACTGTAAGTGACACCCTCCCCTGCCCCCACCTCTCTCTCATTCTCTTCTTTTCTCCTTTCTTTAGAAATCATTATCGCCAGAGCGCAGCTGTCACAGGCGGAGCATCCGGGAAGTGTTACTATAACCTCACCTTTGCCGTCACCTTCCCGCACAGTGAGGATGTCTGCTACCTGGCCTACCACTACCCCTACACCTACACAGCCCTCATGGTAACTCCTTCCTTAGGCATCTCTCCAGCGGGACTGAGGGACTCTCTCTCTCTTTTTTTTTTTTTTTGAGAACATTCAGGAGACCCTGACATCTGGGGTGGGTGGGGGTGAAATACTGCCTCCCTGAGGTTTTGTTGTCACTGACCTAGTGGCTTTATAGGTGTCCCATCCCCTTCCCTGGACAGAGCACAAGGCTCAGTCATGCCTGGTGACATTCTGAAAGCCCAGGGGGCCTGCAGGTTGAGTGTGGGAGGCGGGGACATTTCTGAGGGGCTCTGTCTTTAAAAAGTCCTCAAGTCAAGCGTGAAGTAGCCAGATTGGAGTTGAGTTGGGGTGAAACCACACAAGTAAGCTGAGAGGCAAATCTGAGGAGCATCGACTCGCTGGGAGGAGGGGAGCAGAAGGCAGGAAGGGGGAGCCAGGAAGCCTCCCTGAGTCTGTGAACAAGCAGCCGCCTCAGCAGCTGCAGTGGCTCACGTGACCGTGGGCTAGAGGCTGCTGGAAGGATCAGGGTGCACAGGAACAGTGCACGGATAGAACACTGGATTGCTGCAAAGGTGGGCCACACTCATTTTATGAGGGGAGTGTAGCCAAAACCAGGCCAGACTCAACATTTAGCATGACTGCCGTCCGTAAGGCCCTGCAAAAGGTTCATGAAACAATTTTCTGCAAACTGACTGCTCAAACCATGCAGTTTTCTTTCATTTGAAAAAGTGGGTAAACCCCTAGCTATTTCATGGATACCCTGAGGATTAATGAGCTACAATATCTTCTATAAAGCACTTTCATCTTCTGTGTTAATGTAAAATGTTATTAGCATATTTATAATAATATGTATATGAGTGTATATATCACTTAGCCTGAAGGATGAGCATTTTCATTTTAAGGCTGTGATAAACAGTTGGAAAAGATAATAACCAAGAAATATCTGTTCCTTTAAAAGGAATGTTCAGGTATAAATGAAAATTTTTCTCACCGAGGAGGCATATCTTAAACTTGGCTAACCACGCCATGAAAGTGCATCTGTCCGTCTCTCCGTATGTTGTCTTGCCTAAACAGAGATTTTTACTGTTTTCCAGATTGCAAAAGATACACAGCTAGTATTATTTGTGTATCACACTTAGAGAGCTCAAGAAGTTAATCCAAGAAATGTGCCTCGCAAGCTATGTTGTAACAAGCCATGTTTGTTATAAAATGTGTTTTGTTGCCTTTAGGGACACAGAACAGGCAGGATTCATGATCCCTTTCAACAGCTGTTTCTACAGTCCTGCCTGTGAAACACTGAGAGCAGAGTCTACTGGGGAAGTGGATTCTTTTTGGAATATGTGCTTGCCTTTCCCAGTGGGGGAGAAGGAACTGTGGGTCTACGACACTGTTCTTTTCACTTGTTAGAATATCTTGAACCCTGATGAGGCTCTTGGTAGTGGTTAGTATAAAACATTAGAACTCAAAGGAGTTTGGGAAGCTGTCTAATTCACCCTTATCATTTATAGATGCAAAAACTAAAGCCTAGAACTGCCACATCTCGCTAGCAGCCAAGGAGGGAATAGAACACTGGCCTTTGATGTCTATTCTGGTGGCCCTCCTACTCCACTTTCGCAAAAGTGTAGAAAAAAATCAGAAGAATTTCCTCCCCGGGGTCAGATCAGTGTCCTCCCATGCTACAACATACAATAGCTACTAAAAAAATGCAGTTCGGTTTTATATGTACACATAGTCATCTTTGTGTGATGATATAGACACCTCTAACAGTTGAATTCAAATCACCAATCCATGATTTATGTCTGCAATGCTGAGTGCTATGGGTGTGGTTCAGCTGAAGGATGATGTTTCTTACCAAACATGGTCCAATTCTTATCCCAAGATGCTCTGATGGATTCTTACTAGGTCCTACAAGCTGATGTAAAGTCTGTAACCTTTTCAAGCAGGCCCTGACTGCACCTGGAAGCATACCTTGTGCCTCTGGGCCCACTTACCTTCTGGGGACTGTGTCAGACAAGAGCACAGGGTTAAAGTTTACAATTGATAAATAACTTGGGAGCTCTTGGGGTCAATGGGAGGATAATTTCATCTTGAAGGGAGGCAAAAATGCAAAATAGAAAGCCCCTGGTCACTTTGTGTCACTAAGAAGGGAGAGCAAGGCCTTCTTAATTGATGCTCCTTGGCTTGTTACTATTAATACTAACAACATTAATTGCTACTAATACTAATTATAGTCTTATTTACTATTACTATGAATAATAATAAGTAATAATTATTACCTATTATTGTTTCTTGTTGGCCTATTGACAGTGAATCTCTTCCACCAGGGAAGTTTGAGGAAAGTTAATGAGAAAGAGGGATAAGAAATAACTTCTTATTTCTCCTAAATGAGTAGAACAGAGTTAGAAAGACAATTTGTCATTTGAAAGTGAAAAATGTGTGTTGCCATTTTTAGGTTTTACATTACCAATAACTCATGGTCTTTGTCCTCTCTCTGTTTAAGACAATAATTGACTCTCTGACTTCTCTTAAAAATATCTTCCTCCCATCATGGACAGAGTGAGTACATTCTGTAATGCACACTAGTCATTTTTATTTTTGGACATGTCCTAAGGAGAAACACTTTTTCTTCCAACAGATCAGTGATAAATTAAATGTGAATGATACCCCAAGGGCAGAATTAACTGTATGTTACTTGGGGGTTATGCTGAGAGGTGGAAAATACATTTCCATGTAGAATTCATAATTCGAAAGTCTCTGATAATGTGGATTATGTTTAATAATTACAGACATTTTTATAGCAAGGGACTTGTATGTTGGATGTTTTTCAACATGAATACAATTTTGAAACTTTTAAAATTTTATTGTTCTCTTATAATAAGAGAATTAGTGTTTGGTTTTTTCAAAGTGATATCTTCCAGATGCTTGCCAGCAACACTGTTGGATAATTGTTCAAATTATAGCATTAAAATAAAGCTAAAAGAAAGAAACACACTATTGTTGTAATTCTGAAGCAAGCAAAATGAGTTATATTTTAATTAGCCATATCAAGATACCAGCAGAAATAATGTTATTAATACTTGTTAAAGTATTGGGATTATGTTATGGGCTGTCCCTAGGTAGCTAATAATACAGGTTGAAAATGGAGCCCCAAAAGAGTTTCTGATGGATATTTTAGGAGGTAAGGAAATGGTATCTCACCGAGAACTTATAACTGTGTGAGTTGACAAGAGACAAGAAAAGTGGTCGTAAGTAGGATCCATATATTGGGAGAGCTTAAGGCTCTTAAATGGTAGAGTAGAATTTTTCACCAGACACACATACTCACTGTGAAAGACGCTAATACCATTATCCTCAGGGATGAGAAATGGAGCGTAATGCAAGGAAAGAAGGGGGTGACAGGGAGAGAGAGAAGAATTAGAATGCATATGCACAATATCTTATAAAGGGCTCAGAATAAATAAGAATTTAAAAAGCATCAAGTGGGAAATGTTGACTTACATGTGCCAGATCAAAGATGCAACGAGCAAGTCATAAATCAGTGCTGTCAGGTAATCAATAGACAGAGACCTCTCCTCGTATGCACCACAGCGAAAGACAGGCACAAATAAAGGGTCTCGGTGCTGCGGAGGTGGATTTAAAGAGCCATTCTGAACGAGCCACGATGTGTGTGCATGGCGACGACTTTGAGCAAGAGGACACCTGAATTCCAGGGTCTTGAGCACATGGAGCCACAAGCTTTTAGGTCAGACAGGCGTGGATTTGAGGCCAGGAGCTGGGTGTCCTTGCTACGTGGCCGCGGGCAAGCTATCTAACTTCCCTCCGCCTCAGTCTTCTCACCTGTAAAAATGGAAACAGAAAAGCAGTTACAACTCAGGCTATCATGGAGATTAAATGATTGCTACCTGGAAAGTACAAGCAAAGTGTCTACATCTAGTAAACCATGCCAGATGGTAACCATTAGAGCACTTACTCTTTTTTATGACAGTGTGTAATTATTTTCTCTGTTGGACTGACTGGAAGACACCCATTTCATAATTTATACTAAAATTAAAATTCTGTAAAAAAAATCCAAATAAAAGACATCCCCCACCTGAAAAAAACAACCCCCAAACAAAGCTACTACTCATGGTTTTCTTAGGGTGATTCATTACGATGATTTTTTTTCTTTACTCTCTTTTCCAAATCATCAGTGATACAACTTTGCTTATTTTGAATGGAAAAAGCATATTAAAACCATCTTTTCTTTATAATTGACAAATCTGTGAGTAGGTACCTAGAGACTAACCATTTCTCTCATTGTCAAAGTTAAGTCCCTTTAACTTAGGGAGAGCGATATTGGCAGACTGGGACAATTTGAGAAAGCTAATCAGAGCACGCTGTAAGCATGTTCTGTAGCTTTTATTTAGCTTAACAGTGTTATTTGTTCTCTTGTGATGAGAAGTCTTCGATTCTCTGATGAGTGTATTTTAGTGACAACTGTGATCCAGGCAGTAGACAAATAAAATAGGCCCTCTCCTCAGGAGTGGGCTTTCTTCTAAATGAGGGGACCAGAGAGTGCAGCGGTTTAGGGGATAACAATAAGAAATGAGTGATTTTTGAGTGCCTGGTGCTTCTCACTTTATCAGTAGCCATCAGCAGGGCAACCTGCTGGGGTCAAGGTGAGTCTTTTATGGAAGTTTTAAGGGAGTAGTTGATAAAGAAGAGGGAGACGGAGGACTCCTGTGGAGGAGACACAGGATGAGGCCACAGGCTGAGGTTATCAGCCTGGTATCTTTCACAGGCAGGGTTTTCTTTTAAGAAGTCAGCCTCTCTGGGGGTTCCCACAATTGCCTTGAACTCATTCACAGTTTTATAAAGAAACCCGCCCCTGTGGCTTCCGCAGGGCTGCAATTATAGTCAGTTGACACATGCATTCAGAGGCCCTTCTTCTCTCATCCACGATCCCAACAATCTCCAATTAGGCATTACCTTTCTGGACCCGAGACGGAAGCTTCACCTGGAGATCACTTTTAGGA